GGTAGGAAGAGAAGCTTCCCTTAACCAGAGGCGCCGTTTCCCCTCCTGGTTTGCAAGGGTCTGTAAATATCTATATATAAATCTGTGTGGATTCTTTTGTGTCATGTTGGGGTTTTTAATGTGTTTGTGTATTCAGTTTACATTAAAAAGAAGCCAAAACAATCCCTATTGCCTTGTCTACAGGAAATATAGCCCCTGAATATTTCCTCCAGGTTTAGAATGTGGGTCTTCTTGCCAGCATCGATAGGTCACCCACTTGTCCTCTGCCGTGCTGTCCACCTTTCCCATCTGAGGGGGGAGTGGGGAGCTGGCACTTACCCATTGTTCTCTCCGCACAGTGATATGAGGTTGCTCCAGCCCAGCTCCAGGGCTCTGGGCTACTGGAGTGACAAGTTGTCCTGCACCCCTGGGTTTGATGTCATCGCAGTAGGAGCCCCAGCTTTCTCTGGATCACACTCCTGAGCTGGCCTCAGGCAAAGCAATTTCAATGCCGGGGAGGGAGGGCTGAGTCAGGGGCCGCGCTCTGGGCCCTCACTGGGCTCTGGGATGGTTGGGACTGAGAGGGAACCTGTGCTCAAAGCCCGGGGAAGCAGGACCGTCAGAGTTAGCGTCACAGTGGAAAAGAGAGTGTCCGAAGGCCCAGGACCCCCCAGGGCACGGGGCGAAGCAAGGAAAACCTTGTGTAGGTGTGAGTTTGAGGCCTCCTGGAGCCTGCACCTGGCCTTCAGATCCATGGACACGTCTGCCTTCTCCTGACTCAGTCTTGACTTAATAAAGGAAGCACATTCTGGGGGAAATCTCCATGTTGATTTTTCCATCGAGCACCTGCCGAGCCTGGGTCCCGCTGAGCCCCAGTCCAGGCCCCGAGCTGGGCTGCCAGGACAGGCCTTGATGTGCCAGTGTGGCAAGGAGCAGCCAGAGCGACAGCCAGCAGTGTACTCCTTATGTGAGTCACACAGCCTATGAGATAGGAAGTCCCTGGGATCGATTGGCATTTTGCCCCAAAGTAACTTGCACAGGACAAGGGAATTTGACACAGTTTTTGTGTGCATGATGGATTTTCTATTGTTTCTTGACAGGACCTATAGAAAGTATGTATCTTGGGGTTTCAGTTTGTAAAAGACGGATATTCACATTCTTACTCCATCAGGCAGCCTGGTCACCGAACCTGCCTGCCTGAGGCTTTGTTCTGTTTTGATTTCCTCAAACTCTTCTGCGAAGCTTAACCTTAACCAGAGGTGCCATTTTTCTTCTTGGTCTGTAAAGGTTTGAAAATATCTACCTATAAATCTGTGTAAAAACAACAACAAAAACAAAAAACCCCACATAGCTCCAAATTCTCAAAGCTCCAAGGGCCACAGAGCCTGGGCAGGGAATCTCCTAGGCCGAGGGGCAGTCACAGTGTGCCAGTGGCAGATTAGCCGTTTGAACCCAGGCCTTTGTACAGAAATATCCTTTGGAGCAAATGGCCACCCAATCTCTGTGGCTTTCTATCTCGTCTGGGTAATAAGATGGGCAGGGCACATGAAGGCTCGTTGTAGAAGGTTGAGTTACATAAAATGTTGATTATTGCCAACCGGGCTCAGGGCCCTTCAGTCCACTGAGGGGTGGGTTACCTCGTGGCTTTATCATTCTCAGCATGGGAACTGTCCCTTGTTAATCAAAAGAGTTACCATTTACTGGGTGCCGAACAGGCAACAGGGCCAGTATTGATGCTTCCAGAAAGCTCATTTTCCACACAGTAGCCAGCAACTGGCAGTTGTGGAGTGTTTACTATGCGCCAGCCACTGTTCTAAGCACTTTATTTATTGTTTATAATAACCCCAAAGGTAGTGTTACTACAGTGCTTATTTTGTAGATGAGAAACTGGCATAGAAAGGGTAAAGAACTTGCCCAAGGTCACAGAATAACAAGAGCCAGAGCCCAGATGCAAACCAAGGTCTCTGTTTGCAATGTGTGTGCATTCCTCTGCCCCCACACCCTTTCTCTATTAATCATTGTTATTCCCAGCACTGAACCGCCAGAGCACTCATTTGCTCATTTCTTCACCCTAGTCAGTGCTTAGTGTTTGCTCAAGCATGGTCCCTGGCAAGAAGATTCTTGGCAAGTGTCAGCTGCTTTAGGCCCTAACTGGCCACCCAAGCTTGGCCTTGGCCTGGTCTCCGGTGTGCCCCAAATGTGTCCCCCGCCTCAAGGTAACTTGGGGGCTGTCGCTGCTACCTTTTTTCCCCTTTTCTGCCCAAGCCTCAATGTCTCTCCCAGATCCCAGAGGACTTGGGTATGGCAGCTTCTGCCATCTCTGTTAGGCTAGCTTCCTGTCTGTCCTCTTAACTGACTACTCAGAGAAGCAGTAGCTGTGCCATTCATTTGGCATTTGGCATGTTAGCCTCAGGCTGCTGACTATAAAACAAGCCCCGTTTGGGAGTGAGAGAGCCTTGACGTTCAGTCTGGGTTGTGAAATTGACTCATGGAGGGACCTTGAGCTCATCAAGCTCTAAGCCTCAGTTGACTCCTGTAAAAATTGGTTTAATAACAGCAAGGTGGTTGGGAGGCCCGAATAAGATAGTGGATAATGAACCTACATACCTGGCTGACAAGAAAACAACACAACTAATAAATAACTGGCATTAATATTTATTAGCATTTCTTAGTATTGCTAATGGTCCTTCCAGCTCTAACCTATGAATTTGCATCCATTGCCTGTGTCTCCTGAAAATCAGAGACCTGTAAGGACCAGAACGCTGTCGTGGGCCTTCTTACATCGCTCATCTTTAGGTCACTGCACTGAAGATGGAAGCCTCTCAACCCCGCCATTGAAGGCCTGTTCTGGGCCAGGTCCCATTCTAGATGCCTTGGGTGTCCAGGTGAATAGAATGCCACTCTCACTTTTCTTGATGAGCTTGCAGTTGATGGAGAGCCATAAAAGCAAGTAAGAGCACGAATATGGAAGGTTCAGAGACAGGCATCTGTAGGGCCACACAGGTCCCACTGGTCCCAGCTAGTGCTCTCCTACTGGAGAAGAGACTGGATGAGGGGAGCCTGCAGTCAGTGAGTAGGGAGGGGCCCCAGCATCAGGAACGAGGGCTCCTAGAACAGATGCTTTGTGCTCATTGTCTGCCTGGTGAAAATGGCCAGGATGAGCCTGTGGCAGAGGCTGGGGCAGGGATGAGGTATGTCCTCCCTCTGCCTGATACAGGAAGTGCTGGTTCCTGGTGATGTTGAGCACTGTTTCTGTCTGGGGCTGCAGAGGGTCTGCACTTCAGTGCTGTAATTCAGGTTGATGTGTAAATGATCGGGGGAGGAAGATCGAATGCCTCTAATGAGAAGCATTTCCCGATGCTGGACCGAGACTAGAAGCCTGGATTGAAGGGCCTGCTGGCTTGGGCCCTTCACGCTGGGCCTGTCGTCTGTTCCCCTGCCAGGACCAAGATGCAGGGCTTCTCTGGGTGGGCCTCTCTGGGGCAGTGAAGAGCCTTAGCAAAGAGAGATTGAGCCTAGCAGCTCTTAAAGTTGAGATTCCAGATGGGGCCACTTCTCCTTTTCCAGAAGGGGTGACCAGAGTCCCAGCCTGGCCTTGGGAAAACACAGTGAGCCTGGGGGCAGGGGCATCCGGAGACTTGGAGGCTGTGTCTTGGCCCTGAGACGCCTAGGGTATGGAGGCGTGGGGGATGGGAGGATGGCTAATGGGAAGCAGGTGGAAGGGCCGCCTGTGTCCCAGCCAGGGGACAGGCCGGCTGGGATGGCCCAGTCAGTGGGAGAACCCGTCAGCTCACAGATAATCCCAGGGAACAGGCTCCGGGATGCCCATTCATATTCATTATGTGTGAAGCAGTCAGTTGTAAAGTTAGCTTTCCCTTCATTTAGCTGTCACTGGACAGAAAAATATGAGCTGTGGGCAGATGCCCCTGGATGGGAGCCAGTAGCTGGTCTCCGGCCTCCCTGTGCCCTCCCCCACCAGGCTCCCCTCCCCCACGGGGGCCCCTCCAGGCCTCTGCCCGTCTCCCACTCTGGCTGTAGTGATCTCTAGCTCAACTTTTTCTTCTCGTCTGTCTCTTCCCTACTTCTGCTTCCGTTGCTTTCCCAGATCCTTTTCCTCCTCCTTCTCTCCATCTGTTTCTGGGCCGTGAGAGAGGGAGTCATGTTTTTGTTGACCATCGCGCTATCTCTGGCACCCAGCACAATGCCTGGCACAGAGCGGGCGCTCATTCAATATCTGTAGAACAAACTGCTCTCTTTCTCTGCATCTCTCTGACTTTGTGGGACAGAAAGTCCAAAATTTTGCTGGCTTCTCCTCTGTGAACAAACCTCCAGTGCAGTGGTCTTAGCTGTGGCCGTAGAGACATGGGTTTGTGTCCTAGTTCATCACTGACAAGCTGGGTGGAGCTGGTTCTGTTCATCAGAGGGGCTGGGGCTGCCTCTCCGTCCCACTCAGACTCTTCCCTTCCTGACAGACATAGGGCTCACCTGGACCTCAGAGCCAGCATCACTACTGAGAGGAAAGAAACCACCTGAATGAAGAGGACACTGGTTTCCTCCGGGGGAATGCCTGAGCCTAGTCACACTGACTGTCTTGGTGGGAAGATCCAATCTGGCGGGGGACTCGTTCCCCTCTGGGAGTAAACTCAGCACTGGTGTCTGTGCTTGGCTTTCTCTGCACCCGGAAGAGGAGGCGCAGGGTGGGGATGGCTGGGCTGCTAGCCGAGGCTGAGCTCCTCTGCGTAACGTGATGGTATCTGCTGGGAGGGTGGGAGGGCCACGGCTGCTTTTCTCCTGCCTTCCGGGGCTGGAGATAAGGCAGAAAGTGGGGATGAAGGATAGAATGGGTAATACTCCGAAACCACGGGAGAGTCCTGGCTTTCATCTCTGCCCCACAGCTAAGACATGCTCCTGGGGCGTCTGGGAGAAGGGAGCTGCTCCACCCCCACAGCTCTGGGGTCCCAGCCCAGGGGAGCTCAGAGCCTTCAGCGGGCTCCCTGGCCTGCCATACCAGCCCACTGTCCGTTCAGCCACACGCTTATCTCAGCTTTCTCACTCCCCTCTCCATCTCCCAATTTTCCCTTCCAAATGAGCCCGGCCGTCCTGGAGCTGGGCTCTCCTCCCTGCCTCCCACGCCAACCAAAGCCACAGAGATCCTGGATGGGTGACAGGAAGCACGGCATGCGTCAGGCTTGAGGACTCTGCTGCAGGCCCACCTTCCTCTAGCCTTCAAGATCCCGGCTGGCCCCTCTGGAGCGCCTGGCCCAGCCTGGACCCTGGGCGCAGACTGGCCAAACCCTGAGGGTATGCAATCACCAGATCTGCAAAGTACTGCCTGCCACCTTTATTATGCTGGGCAGCAAACTTTTTTTTTTTTTTTTTTTTTACAAAAGCATCTTTACAAAAGTGGGGCTTGGGATCTCAGGGGCTCAGAGTCTGTGGAAATCTGGTTTATTCTTACCAGCACCCAATGAGCAAACCAGGGAGCCTACCGTTTCTACAGCATAGCTCTGGCCTGATCCCATGGAAGAGAATCCAAATATTTGGTGGTTTCTGGTGGAATTTCTGCCCTGTTGAAGCTGGGAGAGACTCCATAGCATGTTGGGTGGGGCGCAGGGGAGAAGTAAAGGATGACGAGCAGGGGAGCCTGGGCACCTTTTACACTGACCTCCAGCTTCCAGGCCCGTCAGCTCTGATGCTGGGCACACGCCCCCTGGTGGTGGGAGGGGAAAGTGAGGCTGCCCCGCATTGTGTAAGACTGATTTCCCCGAAGTCACAAGTTGCTCCCCCTGATTCACCCTATGTTGTCTTCCTCCTATTTCCCTGGGTTCCATAAATGAGGAGCCACTTCAGCTATTTCCCTGGGTTCCATGAATGAGGAGCCACTTCACTGGGATGACAGTGAAACTTGGATGAAGTCCGAAGGAAGCAGGGCAGTGTCTTCCTCCAGCCCAGCGTTTGGGTGAGGGGACCCAGTGTGTGGCAGGAAGAGTCCTACCCATTTTGAAGCCCCCTTTCTCCTGAGCATCCCTGCCTTATTCTAAGAGAAAAGACTCAGCAGGAGGCTGAGGATCCCAGCTGCTCTGCCCAGGCCTCTGGGAATCATTTGGGGCTTGGAGCAGAGGTATGTCTTCTCTGGTATTCAGGCTGGGGTGGGGTGGGAACAGCTGGGAACAGGAAAGGGGTGGCAGCTTAGTCTGCCTGTCCACACGTCTGATCA